ATATTATATATATATATATATATATATATACACACACATACACACATTTGCATACAAATGAATATGTATGTGCATTTATGCATGTATATTTGAAGTGCGTGTTTGTGCCGTGTGAGTCCGCTACAAGGTTTGGTTTCACTTTGGTTATGCAACATTTGACCTTTCGTTTATGTTTACGTTTATTAAACAAAACTATATTTTTGTAAATTGGAAAATAGTTTTGTTTGATCATATTTATTGTCCACGCAGCCTCGCACCGTTAATAATAAAAAAATATATATATGCATACAAAAACTCAGCGTCATGACACTTTTGACAAATGAGAATATAATGATTGACAGACGCCTCTGCCCGTCAATTAACCAAACCCGTTTTCGAAGGAAGAGGAAGGGAAGCAACGACTTCGGAAGCAACGCCAGACTTAAGTTTATTGATCAAGACGATGTACTTCCAAGGTCCCAGGCTACAAGAGGAGGGGGAGGGAGGGGAGGGGGGGGAAGGGTCAACAGCACGCGCCTCTGCATTTTAGAACACTTAAATGACGATTGAATTTGCTAGATTTTTTTCTTTTTCTTGGGGGGGGTATTTTTTGGCGATGACGATCACTGTTTTGGGAAATCTGAGTGTCTTGTTGTGTCTTTGGGTGGAAAAGAGGCATGGGAGAAAAGAGGAAAGAAGAAGGAGCGAAAGAAAGAGGGAGGAAGGAAAGGAGAAAGAGGTGGAGGGGAAGGGAGGGAGCGAAAGAGGGAGAGAGGGAGCAAGCGAAAGCAAGAGGAAATGTCAAAGAGATGGAGGGAATGGCAGGGAGGGCGGGACAGACAAACAGAGAGAGAGGGGGGAAGGGGGAGGAGAGGATTAAACAAAAGAAATCCGGTGTTATTTCCGAGATCTCTCCCCCGCCCCCCCCTGAACGCAAGACCCGGTAAACACTATCTTTCGTTAGCAATCTTCTGCGTCATCAGGTTTCGAGTGGCAGCCCTTACAGCTCTTCTTTATCCTCCACTTCTTGTCTCCTTGTCCCTTCTACTGCGTCTTCATTATCCCCTCTCCGCTTCTCGCCACTCTTCTCTCTTTCGCGCTCTGTCTGTGTGTGTCTTTCTCTTCTTTCTGTCTCTCTTTCGGTCTCCCTCTCACGCTTTCTTTCAGTTTGTTTCTTTCTCTGTCTTCCTTTCAGTTT